CACCATTGTGATGAAGTTTAAGTTCATGAGTATTATATTCTATTTAAGCACAAGTTTGTAGTGAGAAGTTTAGAGAGAAGACTTAGTAGCATCTAAAAAGCACCAAAAAAAAAAAAACAGAAAAAAAAGAAAGTCAACACACAAAAGAGTTTATTAATTTCTACTCCAATGTTTCTAGTTGCTTAGTAATTGGGGGTTAGGCATGAAACCCATGTCAATTTCCACGTCAAACGATGACTTGAAATATGAGTATGCAAAGCACTTTGAGTTTATGACTTGTTCAGTAACCGGGTGCTTTCATCACAAATGTTAGTATTCGTGTCAAAAGACAAGTGATAACTTAGGGAAGAATGTGTTGTATGGCTGAAGAAAAAAAAAAGAAGAAGAAGAGAAGTCGAATGTTTCGTGGCCTTTGTTACTTGAGTAAATATGTTCTTAGGGGTGTCTCTTCACCTAATGCCCTAAAACCAACTGGTTTGGGAGTCATTGACAAAAAGCTCATTACATGGGTAACTTAGAGAGCCTAAGGAAACTCGACCTATGAAAAAAAATTGAGAGGAGAAAAAAAAAAAAGATAGTAATAACTGCTAAGGTGTAAAGGTCTAAATTTGAAACTTCTTACTATGAATTTCCACACACACACACACTAAGTGCTCATGGGTTAAATCTTTTAACAAGTGGTGTGAAGAATATGATGAGTATCTAACTTTAAGTGAGTATATGAAAACTCTTGAATATTTGAAACTTTGTATCTAATTGAACTTTAATTCCTAAATTTTCTTTGCATGCATATCATGTAGTTACATTCTTACATTGGGATTTTGTGGGTAGATCCATTGCAAACCCTCACGAGACACAACTCGTCCACTAGGGTGACCTAGGGGTTTAAAGGCTTGTTGCACATGCTAAGTGCAATCGTGATTCCTACGAAAGTGAGTTAGGTTTTATTTTGTTTCTTTTATCTTTTTATTTTACTTGAGGACGAGTAAAACTTAAGTTTGGGGGAATTTGATGAGCTAAATTTATATACATATTAATAAGGAATTTTTACTTTGATATTATTGATATTTGGATGAGTTTTATGGGATTTTGTTTGATTTTACATGGTTTTCATTCTTTGTGTAGGAAAGGATTTAATTGAAAGAAATCCTACTTTTTAGAAGTAAATTGAAGAGATCAGAGACTTGAGGATCAACTTGTGCAGAATCCAGAAGTCAGGAACCAAATCTGCTATTTTACCATTAAAGAAATTGCAAAAGGAGACCAGAAACCCAACACGGGTGTAGTGTCGACACATGATCGGGGTGTCGACAGCATGCGCTAAACGTAACAGATTCTGACAGCATGCGCTAAACGTAACAGATTCTGTTTCCTATTTTGTGTCAACACGTAATCCAAAGTGTCAGCACCACGCGATCAGCATCTAAAATTCAGTTTCCTATTTTTATTCCAAGTCCTACTTCTATTTCAATTAGGGTTTCTAAAATCCTACAAATACCCATCCAAATTCAGAATAAGGGAGTTTGGAGAGGCTGGTGGCAGCCCTCTTTTGGGCATTCTTGAAGATCAAGAGAAAGGATTCAACAATAGAAGATCAAGAAGTTCGAGTTCCTCAAATTGGGTTTTGTTTTTCCTTGGGTTTTTATCTATTGTTTGATATTTGAATGTTCATAATTTTGACTTAATATTTTATTATTTTTATTATAAACTGATTTATTCTACTAGGGTTACGATGTAGCCTAATCAATGTAATATAGATTTTGTGATTTTATTTTTTCAATTAAAGTTATTCGCGTGAGGAGTTTATATTATTGAACTTAATGCATTGGAAGCCCGATCATCTTTCCTCAATTGATTTAGTGATTTATGCATGAACTTGAGAAAGAATTGCATAGATTAGACCAATAATAATATAAACCGTGTGCTAGACTATGAGACCAAGAGGTAATTAGCTCACATGTGGTAGTGGAGGAAGAAAAGAGAGTTAGTAGCTCCCCCTTCTTAAGCTAGAGGTTTCCATAGAATCTAATGCTCATTAGTTTGTTTAAAATTACATAGAGATATGATTAATTTAACAAACCAGTGAAGGATTAACTTGACTTGAGAAAGCTAGTTAATTAATTTAGGAAAATCCACCATCACATGCAATAACACTCAACAATTTGGTAATCTAGAATTTATATTGATTGATTATGGTGAAGTCAATGCCTTAGCATTTCATATCTTGGTTAGTTTTATTTTAATTGTTAGTTTCTTTTTGTATTTTAATTAAAATTCCATCTTTTCGATTGTTCAAATAAATTTAGATTAATTGTTTTGGTACTTAATTAGACACAATCCTCGTGGGTTCGACACTCTCTCATCATTATATTACTTGGGGCGACTAGTACACTTGCTAAGGTGATTTTAGTGCATCAGGCTCCTTCCCAACAGTTAAAGCAGATGTGGCCACATGGAGATTTGCCACTGAAACATTTCCTTCAAATAAAGGATTTGTTGTCAAAGGTGCCCTTGTGACTAAGGCTGCTTGAAGAGATTGGAAGAAAGCCATCAATTCCTTCAAAGTATTTTCCATATTTTCAACATGATTTTCCAAAGCTACCTTCTCTAAATTAGCTTCGTCAGCCATCTTCCTTGCAAGAGCTCTAGTGAGAATAGGTGAACGAACTCTTGAATAATTTTTTTTAGGACCAATCTTTCAACACCTAAAGAAATATAAGCATTATTAACAAATCATGGATTTATCTAATTGGCATTTTGAAAGATAAGTTTCTAATGTTTCCATTAATGAGTAAACCTAACTTCTAATTATTTATTTTTTCACATGGATTCTTCATTGTCAAGAACAACTTTAGCCATTTGCATGTCAAGGGAAGGAGAAGTTAGAGCCAAGTAATTGTCATGCATGCCAAAAACATGAGGAGATTGCCCCCTTCATGACCTTTCAGATTTTTATTAATAAAAGAAAAATAATGAGGTGGTTGCCTCCTTCATATCTTTTCTTCTTTATATTGAGGAACTTGCTTTTTCTCAACTAGTAAAATTCACTTTGTCAAGATTATTCAAACCATTCCAAGCAGCAACCAAGTCTTTTACACAAGGTCTTTTGGTCTACACAGAGAATCCATCCTTGTGTAACTTGTTCTTCTTGGATAATGACAAGCATTCTAACTCTAAATTTATCCTTTTTCCCTTATTGTTTTTTTTCTCCAAAGAATCCATGTGTTAAATAATCAATTACCTATTTATTAAAGAAAAGAAAAAGGAGAGTTAATAAATGTTATACCTCTTGGTCGAATTCCTCACCTAAGAAACACAAAAACATTGTTTAAAAATAAAATACTCCCAACGTGTCCTATGCATAAGATCCTTAGATTTTGAAGGTGGTTTACTAGGTTGGCCGCCCTAGGGTTAAGTTTTGTCTAAGTCCATTACATGCGGTTTCCTAGTGGATCCTATACGATTAGGCTTTTTCAACTGCTAACTTCCATAAGTCAACAATTATTGACTTCCATAAAATCAACAATTGCCAACTTCTATAGAGTTAACAAGGGGCATTTCATGACCTAATACAGCAGCAGCATTATGGCTGTCATAACCCACAAAATGAACCTAAAAGAGATAAATCTCACTTCACAATGAAAGCATTGCGCTTTTCATTGCTCCATGAGTTATCTATCTATCTAGAGGTTGGGTTCACCTCATCAAGGACAAAAATGATATGCAAGTGAGGTGTGTGAGGGAGTATACACATAAAGTTAACATATGAAAATAACAAAATAAAAAAAACTTACAAGGCACTCCATGCCACCTACAAAAAAAAAGTTAATAATTGAAAAACCCCAAAATTAAAGTATAAATGGCTTGACCTCTCAATGTCCCCAGTAGAATTGCCAAACTGTTGATGTGCCAAAATGGATGGAGTCGCCATCTATCCAAATGAGGTAGGATAAATCACCAAGGTCTACATGAAAATTGATTAGGCTGGGAAAGTTGGTTAAGTATGGGGAAGGTGTTAGGCACCCCACAATTTTCATATAATATGATTATCACATACTTTAATTTTGACGACTTTTCAATTTTATATCACAATAATAATTACCAAAAAATAATAATAATGATAATAATAGTAAACAACACAAAAATCACTTTAAAAAAAAAACAAAAACTTGTCATCATTCTTTTTCGTTTCGGTTTCCCTTTTTTTTGTTTTCTTTCTTCTTTTTTTTTTGTTCCTGTTTCCCTCTTTTTTTTTTTGTTTCTTTTTTTTTCTCGTTTCTGCTTCTTTCTTTTTTTTCGTTTCTGCTTCCCTTTTTTTTTCGTTTTTTTTTCCTTCTGTTTTTTTTTTGTTCTTTCTTTTCTTTTTCTTTTTTCTTTTTTTTTTTCTGCACTCCTTCTTCTTCTTGACTTTATTTTCGTCTCTATTTTTTTCTTCTAATGCCTAAACCCCACCTCATATTTCCTAAGAGAGTTTCTTTTCCCAATCCCTTTTCCTATTATTGTATAATAACATATCCTAAACCTCATGCATAAAACAAACTAAAAATCTGCAGATAGTTATTTTGGATCGCAGGAAACCAAACTAATGGGGAAAAACAAGTGAAATCATGTCTATGGCAAGTTTCAAGATCAATTACAAATAAACCAAGAAAGAAACAATTAAAAGGGCAATCAAGCAATTCACAAAAGAGAGGAAGAAAGAACAAAATATGAACAATAGAAAACGCAGAAAGAAAAAAAAAATTATGAACAATGCACACCTGAAGAAAAGGAAAAATCAAGACTTTATTCTCTTGAAGTCCAAATACAATTTTTTGTGTTTCCCCTTTCTCTCTCTCCATTCTCGGATCTCTCTTCTTCCATTCTCCTCCTCTTTCCCCTTAGAAGCCGAAGGCCCCCCCCCCCTTTTTATAGAAAAAAGGAAAACCCAATCCTAATGTGCTTCTAATACTCAAATCCCAATCTCTAAGATAACAACTCAATCCTATTTGGAATGGGATTTCTTAGTTTTCCCACATCTACCCCTTTTCTAGTCTAGATTCAGACCTTCTATGCTTAGAACTCCCTTCTTTGAATCAATTTTGAACTCTTCTTTTGTGCCTCTTGTTGATGACTTTCAATCTCCGTAAATTTCTTCAAAACTTGAGTAGATTTAGGGATAAGTCAAGGAAATTTTTGTGATTTTTCTGTTTTGAGAGGGGCTGGCGACGGGGCAAAGAAAGAAACGGGTTTGGGTGGCTAGGGTTTGGCCGGAATCGAGGAGCTTTTCAGATGAAGGTTATGGGCCCGTTCCATCAAGGTGGTGTGGAGTCTGTCAAAGTGGAAATGGAGATAAATTCCATTGCAGCAGGTCCATTCTTTACACTGCACTTCTTCCACTGTGCACTCGCATGCCAAGTGTGCGTTTACGGGTCATTAGTCAATCAAGCGATTTGTTCAGGAAACATTGTTATGAAATCAGTCCCCAAACTTCTCTTAACAGTACAAGACCTTAACTATGAAGTTCTTCACATTTAAGGACTAAACTTCTAATATTTTTACATTTAAGGATAGATATGTTTCATTTTTACTCTTGTGACTCTGAAAATACTCAAAAACATGTTTTCTTATAAAGGTATACAAGTTTCTTACTATAGCACGATGCTTGATTGCATGTTGCAAAAACCATTGCTTGGATTTGTTTTACAAGTAAAATATTTTGCATTGCTCTTTTTATATAGACTGGAAGTTGAGCTAGAGCAATGTTGAGTGTTCATTCAATTTAGCATTAAATAGATAGAGTGCTTTAGTCATGTGTTTTTGGTGGGGACAAAGTGAATGCCTAGATTCCCCTTTTTCAATTATAAACTTAACTGTGAAAATGTATCAACATTCTTAAACTAAAAGGGCAGGACTATTAAAAATATATTGTAATGAGAAAGGGAATAGAGTTTCTTTGTTGGCACCCTTATATGTCTCACTAGTTAATAGCCAGTGTACATTTTGAGTTGTTATGTTACATGCAGGAAGTTGATAGGAGCAAGGTACTTTAACAAAGGTTTAGCTGCATCAGTTGGTGACCAACTAAACTCCTCGTTAACAACCTCATTATCAACTGTGAGGGACCTTCATGGCCATGGATCACACACCCTATCAACTGCTGTGGGCAATTTTGTTCCAGGAGCTAATGTTTTTGGCCATGGTAACGGGACAGCAAGTGGGGGATCGCCTGCAGCCCGTGTTGCAGCTTATAAAGTATGCTGGCCCGAAGTTGGAGACGGTGCATGCATGGACGCAGACATCCTTGCTGCCTTTGATGCTGCAATTAGTGATGGTGTTGATGTGTTCTCACTGTCAATCGGTGGGGCGCCAGCTGAGTATTTCGAGGATGGAATTGCAATTGGGTCCTTCCATGCTGTCAAGAATGGCATTACTGCGGTTGCTTCTGCTGGCAATTCTGGGCCAACACCAGGGACTGTGTCCAATGTGGCACCCTGGATATTTACAATTGTGGCTAGCACAGTTGACAGAGCGTTCACAAGTTATATCACGCTTGGGAACAAGAAGAAGATCAAGGTACATATACTCCAGTATCCATCAAATATTCATCGTTGCACCATCCAATTAATTTGTGATCCTTCCATTTCCGTTTCCAGGGAATGAGTCTTTCTGCAACAACTTTACCGCGTAGGAAATACTATCCACTGATCACTGGTGCAAGCGCTAAATTAGATGACGTCTCAGAAGTAGATGCGTATGTCATCAGTCCACAGTTTGTTTTTGGTGTTTCAGAGCATATAATCATTTTGTTTAATTATTTGTTTTGAACAATTGTGCAGCAACCTGTGTGAGCTAGATTCACTCGACCCTAGAAAGGCTAAGGGGAAGATTGTGGTGTGTCTTCAAGGGGGAGGTGGAACAACAGAGAAAGGGGTAGCGGCCTTACGAGCCGGAGCTGTTGGCATGATTCTAACAAATGACAAGCAAAGTGGGAATGAAGCTTTTCCATTTGCTCACGTGCTCCCAGCTGCTGATGTCAATTTCATTGATGGTCAAACTATCTATGCCTACATCAATGCTACTGGGTAACAATCTTTTATACTCATTAATTGATTTGACATTTTTCAGCAAATCATTAACTGTTACTTCATTTTATTTATGAACATTCTCAGGAAACCTACAGCAAACATCACTCCTGTAAAGACTGTATTGGGTATAAAACCGGCTCCATCTATGGCTGCATTCTCCTCCAGGGGACCTAGTTTCATAGATCCAGAAATTCTCAAGGTTAGCAACTTAGCATTGTTTAATTCAATCAATAAATTCTTGGTATTTCTTCGTATCTAGTAATGTTTGAACCAGAAGCATCAAACTTCTTTCTTTTTTTCTTTTCCCATTATTTCAGCCTGATATCAGTGCACCTGGGGTGGGCATCATTGCAGCTTTCAGTTTAGCAAGTTCACCAACTGGATCAAAGTTTGATAAACGCCGGATTCCATTCAACTTACTATTCGGTACTTCCATGGCTTGCCCTCATGTCTCCGGTGTTGTTGGACTTCTCAAGACACTCTACCCTCTTTGGAGTCCTGCAGCTATTAAATCTGCAATAATGACTACGGGTAACAAACTTACCTTTCTCTTCACTCTCTGTACAGAGCATCTTTCATATCAAAATACTTGCTTAGTTTTCTGAATGGGTTTTTCATTTCTCTTTTTCAGCAACAACACTCGATAATGAAGAGAAGCCAATGAAAGATTCTTCAACCAACGATACAGCAACTCCATTTGCGTATGGGGCAGGAGAGGTGACACCAAACCAAGCAATGGATCCTGGCCTCGTTTATGACTTGACGATTGATGATTACTTGAACTACCTCTGCGGTCGGGGATACAACACAAGCTTGCTCAAAAGGTTCGCAACCAAGCCATTTGCATGTCCCAAGTCATACAGCTTATCAGACTTCAACTACCCTTCAATTTCACTTTCTGAATTGAGCGGTGAGGTGACTGTCACTCGAAGGGCAAAGAATGTTGGACATCCAGGAACATAACATACTTTGCTCGTATCAAGTAACCTACTGGAGTCTCGGTATCGGTTAAACCGGAGACATTGACATTCAAAAAAATGGGTGAAGAGAAGAAATTCGTAGTCACATTCCACCCTATGAGTAAAGTAGAGTCTAGAGATTTTGTATTTGGACAGTTGGTTTGGTCTGACTCCGACGGGAAACATAAAGTTATGAGTCCTATAGTTATAAGGCGCAAGTAGAGGTAAGACATATTGATGGGGGCTCGAAACTTTCATGATCTATGTAAGGATTTGAACTTTTAATTTTCTTAATAAAAGTGTTAGACTTGCCAAATTTGCTATGCTTCATGGGTTTACAGCGTTATTTGGTGTCAAAAACTTATTGGAAGGCTGAGTCAGTTTCGATATTAAACTGCACGTAATTTGTAAACAGCTCACTATGAAAGTCCAAACATCGTGCCCACAGTTGTGTTTGTATTCTCATTTAATTGGATTTGATCAAGGAATGTATTTGCAATTCCATAATGTCAATGCACAGGAACGGTTAATCTTTTGCTAAGTTGTGAACGCTCTGTATCATTCATAGCAGCCCGTGGTAGATCCATGGAAAAATTTAGGTTGAAGGGACCTCAATGTTCACTGATGCACCAAATATGCACTACTCTTAGGCAAGTGAACCTAATCGATTATGCAGTATAAGATGAGTAAGATATCGTTCCCTCAAGGACTATCCTACACTACCAAAACCCTATTAATCTAAGCTAAGTTGAATTAACCAATTAATGGGAAGAACTAAATTATTTAGAAGAAAACTAAGTCAACTAAAGAAAATTAAACTAAAGAATTTTCTAAGTTAAAGAAACTATGAATGAGAAGGAACTAGAGTTTGGATTTCATTTAATTCTGAATTATGCAACTGTTTCACTAATTTAATTCAAGTTCAAATAATAGTGTTATTGCATGTGATGGCGGATTTCCCTAAATTAATTAACCAGCTTTCTCAAGTCAAACTAATCCTTCATTTGTTTGCTAAATTAATCATATCTCTATGTAATTTTAAACAAACTAATGAGCATTAAATTCTATG